TATTTCCCTTGAAGGGACAAGAGAGGGCGATAGGGAGTCAAGGGATATTTCCCTTGAAGGGAAAAGAGAGGGCGATAGGGAGTCAAGGGATATTTCCCTTGAAGGGACAAGAGAGGGCGATAGGGAGTCAAGGGATATTTCCCTTGAAGGGAAAAGAGAGGGCGATAGGGAGTCAAGGGATATTTCCCTTGAAGGGAAAAGAGAGGGCGATAGGGAGTCAAGGGATATTTCCCTTGAAGGGACAAGAGAGGGCGATAGGGAGTCAAGGGATATTTCCCTTGAAGGGAAAAGAGAGGGCGATAGGGAGTCAAGGGATATTTCCCTTGAAGGGAAAAGAGAGGGCGATAGGGAGTCAAGGGATATTTCCCTTGAAGGGAAAAGAGAGGGCGATAGGGAGTCAAGGGATATTTCCCTTGAAGGGAAAAGAGAGGGCGATAGGGAGTCAAGGGATATTTCCCTTGAAGGGAAAAGAGAGGGCGATAGGGAGTCAAGGGATATTTCCCTTGAAGGGAAAAGAGAGGGCGATAGGGAGTCAAGGGATATTTCCCTTGAAGGGAAAAGAGAGGGCGATAGGGAGTCAAGGGATATTTCCCTTGAAGGGAAAAGAGAGGGCGATAGGGAGTCAAGGGATATTTCCCTTGAAGGGAAAAGAGAGGGCGATAGAGAGTCAAGGGATATTTCCCTTGAAGGGAAAAGAGAGGGCGATAGGGAGTCAAGGGATATTTCCCTTGAAGGGACAAGAGAGGGCGATAGAGAGTCAAGGGATATTTCCCTTGAAGGGAAAAGAGAGGGCGATAGGGAGTCAAGGGATATTTCCCTTGAAGGGAAAAGAGAGGGCGATAGGGAGTCAAGGGATATTTCCCTTGAAGGGAAAAGAGAGGGCGATAGAGAGTCAAGGGATATTTCCCTTGAAGGGAAAAGAGAGGGCGATAGGGAGTCAAGGGATATTTCCCTTGAAGGGACAAGAGAGGGCGATAGGGAGTCAAGGGATATTTCCCTTGGAGGGAAAAGAGAGGGCGATAGGGAGTCAAGGGATATTTCCCTTGAAGGGAAAAGAGAGGGCGATAGGGAGTCAAGGGATATTTCCCTTGGAGGGAAAAGAGAGGGCGATAGGGAGTCAAGGGATATTTCCCTTGAAGGGACAAGAGAGGGCGATAGGGAGTCAAGGGATATTTCCCTTGGAGGGAAAAGAGAGGGCGATAGGGAGTCAAGGGATATTTCCCTTGGAGGGAAAAGAGAGGGCGATAGGGAGTCAAGGGATATTTCCCTTGAAGGGAAAAGAGAGGGCGATAGGGAGTCAAGGGATATTTCCCTTGGAGGGAAAATAGAGGGAGATAGAGTCAAGGGATATTTCCCTTGGAAGTACAATACCTTGATCTACCAGCATAGTGTCAACAAAGATATATATAGAAATATTGTTCTCTTCAGCCACTAGTGGGAGATAGAGAGTCAAGGAATATTTCCCTTGAAGGAACAATACTTTTATCAACCAGTAGAGGGCAGCAAAGAGTCAATTAATATACTCCCCCCGGTATCATTTAGAGATCTTAGAAAAGTTACTTTTGGAGGAATAACATCTGAATATTGATTATGCTGGTTGGATTATTCCGGGTATGGTAATAATAAAAAAATCAAATTTGGAAAACTAGACAGAGGGGAAAATGGGAATTATAATCCCAAAAAGGTCATATTGGGAAATGAATCATAGGGGATTCTGATAAATATTATTTCGAAAAAAAAGATGCAAATTTGGAAGGATCACCATGTTAAGCTTGGTTTAAAGTACGATTAAAACTAATATTTTTGTTATAATGGGGAGGGGGGATGAGCTTGGGTAGGTGTCTCTCTTTGCAAATGCTCGTTTGCAATGTACAAGGCTCCGTCCTTGCAATAGAAATGGCTTCGGTTTGTGGTGGATGATGGGTTGGCCTTCCTGGATCCTGCCCTTATTTTTCTCCTTTTTCCTTCCCAGCACAGAAAGCAATAAGAACTGCAGGAGAAAAAAAAAACTACAAAAACAAATACCAATAAAAGGAAATATACAACCTTTGCCTTTGCATGAGAAACTGGCTCCTTTTTCTCTCAGCAATAAACTAACCAACCCCCTTTCCTGTCAACCTGGTGCAAAGGGTTCAAAACAAAATCTGGAAATAAAGGGAAACATTTCTTATTATTCTACTTGGCTTTGTCTCTCTGTGTGTCTTTGGGGTCGGATCAAGGGGAGAAGGGTGTCGATGAGGTATTAGCAAACTTGGGCCCTCCAGGTGTTTTGGACTACAACTCCCACAATTTCTGGTCTCAGACCCTTCCTTTTCCCCCTCAGCCACTTAAGGCTGTTAGGAATTGTGGGAGTTGTAGTCCAAAACACCTGGAGGGCCCAAGTTTGCCCATGCCTGGTGTAAATGCATTAGGAATTGTGGGAGTTGTAGTCCAAAACACCTGGAGGGCCCAAGTTTGCCCATGCCTGGTGTAAATGCATTAGGAATTGTGGGAGTTGTAG